GGGATCACATGTTTCTTAAGGTTTCCCTGTTGATGGGTGTTGGATGCTCAATTTAGACTAAAAAGTTATCTCCTTGGTATATGGGTCCTTTTGAGGTTTTGAAAAAGGTTGGGCCAGTAGCTTATCAGTTAGTGTTGCTGCCTCAATTAATAAATTTACACAATGTGTTTCATGTGTCATTGCTAAAGAAGCAATAGCTAGACCTATCGCATATGATAGAACCTAAAGAGCTTGAAATTTAGGAGAATTTAACTTACCAAACTAAACCAGATCATATTGTGGATGATAAGGATAAGTAGCTCACGAATAAGACAATCTAGTTGAGAAAAGTGATCTAGAAAGGGATAGCTTTGGGAGATGCAATCTGAGAGACTTGGGATCAAATGAGGAAGGAGTATCCATAGTCGTTTCTCTAGGTATGATTCTCTCTTCAGTTTTGTGTTGGTTTAGATTTTTTGGATAAAAATCCTTTTAAAGGAGGGGAGAATGTAACATTCTAAAATTTTTTAAGACCCAGATTTAATTTAAAATATAGATAATTAAATTAAAATTTATAATAATTTGATAAAGGTTCAGAGTTCTAATTTTACTAAGCAAAAGTTTGGTTTTATTTTATTTGTAATTATGAAAAAAATTACCAAAGTTATCCTGATCTTTTGTGTTATAACAAAAAGAGTTTGGCCCTTCCTTGAAATTTTCCCCAATTTGTTTAGTTCAGTTTTTTTTAAAGAAGATAACACAAAAACAAAGAAAAAAAAGGGAAAGAAACGAAACAAGAGACAAAGAAACAAAGAACAAGAAAAAATAAGAACAAGAAAGGAAGAGAGGGAGCTAGGGCTTAAATTTGAGATGCTTTGTAATGGTTGTGAGCTCGAATACGAGTTAGATAAGCTACTAGCTACTTTAATCCTCTTCCTTTCCTATTGGTTTTCTTAAATTTCTGAGAGAGAAAATTATTAATTTTGATTGCAAAGGCTTTGTTCTTGTAAGCTTTAATTTCCTTGGGTTTTAAGGATGTTGTTTTTGAGTTTTTTTATGGTGCTCTAACATTTTGAATGGGCAATTGGATGAAAAAGAGAATTTTAGGAAAAAATTAAACCCCGAGAGATTGGGTTTTACTCTTCAATGGTTTAGGCCTATTTATTTGGTTATAATTATGTTATTTAAATTCAATAAGATTTAAATTAAGCTTTGATTTTCATTATAAAGGCTATTGTGAAAGTTTGTAATGCTAATTGAAGGCTTTTGGTTGATTAAAAATTGTATGGTTTAGAGATTGGCCTAATGGTGGCTAATAAATGATTTTAGTTGTTAAGTGGTATTATGTGAATGGTTAGTTTAACATTTAAACCATTGGGATGAATTATAGCTCATTGACCCAAGTTGTGTGGTATGAATTATAGTCTTCTTTTATGCTATTTGCCGTGATATGTAATGTAGATTACTTATATGTTATAAGAAATTATTGGTGGAGCTTAATTGGATGTTAAGGAATAAGTCAAGTATTATTTTTATATAAGGGAAAACCCTTTTGGTACAAAAGGGTTGAGGTACCAAGAGAATTTATATATTTTTATTGCTTTGTTTAGCTATTTTTTAGTCAATAATATTATCTAGCATGCATTACATGTTTTAAATAATTAAATGCAAATAAATATGTTTTAGGAGGGTTTATAGGGTATTACATTGATAATAATACATCTATGTTTACTATCTTTCTAATAATGATTTTTTTTATGGAAATGAAATTATTAGGATGCCTTGAGATTAAAGAGACAAGGAGTTGCACTTAGGGAAGTGCAACTAGGTTAGGTATCTTAAATAGGCTAAGGAACCACCTAAGGGAGGAATTATAAGTGTTATACTACCTTAGAGTTTTGAAGTGGTCAATACTCAGGGAAGGTAGAAAAGGGTAGGAGGTATGATCTCGATGGGAGTTCACTAATAGGGAAATGTAGTCTTGTGATATTCCATGGCTCACTACTATTACTTAGTGTTTCCTTACCTATTTGTGGGCTCAGTTTACTAAAGAGGTTAATGGATTAAGTGTTCAACACCTCTGAATGGGGGAAGGGATCTGTCATGAAAAGTGTGAGGTTGAGTGTCTAAGCTAAGGTAGCCCTCACATGGAGAGTAAGTGACTCTGGGAGGGACTTGGTTTTAACTTCCCAAGATCCATGTGGAAGAGATACAAGCAGTTCAGTGGATCAGATCATGACTTAGATTATATTTTGTGTTTGTGGAGGTATAAGTGGGTATATGCTTTACTTGCAAGCTAAAGAGTGCCAAGTGACATTCTGTTGGTTAGGAAAGGCCATATCGGCCTATGTCATACATTGAAGAATTTTAATTGTTTTAATCATATGTTATTTTAAATTTATTATTTATTTACTTGACTATGACCTTCCTTATAATTGGGAATATAGATTTCTCTATTACTAAGGCTATAGTTGTCTCACCCTTTTTTTTACTATATTTACAAGTCCAGACAAAGGATCCAGTAATGGATGGGGAGAAGACCCAAGCTAGGGTTTTCCTTGTGATTTATAAAAGACTGCTACCACTTTCTTTTGGGAAGTGCATTATAATGTATTAGGATTAGGGTGCCAGTAGGATGTGATTATACATATATGTAGATATGGATGTGTATGGACTGTATGCCTGTGTATGAATTTTTATCTACTTGTAGACTTGTGACTAAGAAACTTGGTTATAGCATGTGATTTTGATGGATTCATTTGGTAGACTAAGTTTTCACTACGAAAAAATGTTTATTTTGGCTTAGATATGAAGATGTGTGATTTTACACGCAATTGCAAAGTGGTTGCATTATGAACTTTGTGCGATGGGCAAACATATACCTTAAGGAGAGTGGGTGTGTGGATCCCACAGGGATCTTTGAACCAAGTAAAAATGTTTGGCATGTATATTTATATGAGTATATGGTGTTTTGAATGCTTTTAGCCACTCTTGTGCGATTTGTGCATGTCGGCTAGAGGTTAATGGTCTATTTTAAAAAATGGCACATAGATGATCAAATTTTATTGTATGAGGGTTTTCTATCATTTGACTACTCTATTAGGTACTCTTAGTCTTATTTGATATGTCTAAAGTGTTTCCACAGGTTTGTGACCATTAAGATGAAATTTGGACAATTTTGAAAATGATTTTTACTAAAAAGCTATATTTTTGCATTCGAGTCTCCAAATCTCAATCCAACTATTGGATTTCCCTAAAATTTGGGTCACAAGTAAAAAATTTTATAATCTATGTGCAGGCTTTGGAATCACCTCGATCTATGATTGGATAGAGGAACGGTGTACTCCAGAAGTTGTTTCGGAGGTGTTGACATAATAGCAACAACAACTGATATTGCAATGAACATGAAATTCAATTTGACTGTTAGATTTTTTTCAAAATTTAGTACACTAGTAGTAATCTTTGAAAGTGACATGTGGACTTTGAAATTGCTCCAATTAGAGGTTAGATGATAAAATGGTGCGCTTCAAAATTTGGTCCGAAGGTGCTGTCATGCAGCAAAACAAAGCTGTCATGACAGCAACATTGTCCAATCTTGTAACATGTTTAAATTTTAATTCGATCGTTGGATCTTTTTGAAATTTGGAACACTACTAGTAATCATTAAAAATGATGTGTGGGATTTGAAATCATTTCAATTGGATGCCAAATGGTGAATTACTGCCTCCCAGAAGTTTGTCTAAGAGGGCTGTTATGACATTAAATTAATGTAATCATTATAGCAATTAGTTGCCCCTGTTTGCTCAAATTTCTTTTGTGTGCTATACAATAATCCTTTATACTTTTATAAGAGGTTTTAAATGTATGTTTTTCTATTGTGTATATTGTTTGGTGGTTTAAATAATTTTTTTTATAAGTTGGTTTTAGGATCAATTGCTTAACTATACTTAGTTTATTTTGTTGTAGTGTGCTTTTGTTAACACTTAAGGCAAGTGTTACATCCTCCAACATAAAATAACATAACATACATGCCAATGTGCCCAACTCTATGAAATAACAATTAATCTACAATAGTTAATAATAGTCTACATTAATATAAATCTCAAACATACAAATATTCTATTCAGCTTGCTTAATTGATGTCTAACATTCCCAATTCTCTTCCAATTAATTTCTAGGGTTAAATTGCTCAAAGAGCAATTAAAAAACATAAATATTATAATATTTCTATTATATAAAAACCAAAATAAATATTTATTTACATAGATAAAAACTTTGTGAATATTTACAAATCAGTTGTATAATACACAATATCAATATCTAAAACATAATATTTATGATTTGAATAACATATAGAATTAAAGAGCTACTTTTCCTTTAAATTATAGTTTTAGGAATGTCTGAGACTCGGCTCAGAATTTTTTTCCAAAAAAATATTTCCTTTCAACAATTAAAAACAGTGCAATATTGTCCTTACTAATATTACTTATTGCCAACAATGACAATCTGAGAACAACATTGGTAAGGTCAACATTGCACTGATGTGAAAGGTTCATTGAATTTTAAAAAACCAAAAAAAATTGACTTTTCATAGTTATTTAATTCACTTTCTGCACTAGCTTTATACCAGGTGTGGAAAGTGATTTTTGACACGAGTCAAATAACTGGTGTAAAAAGTGAACACTTTTAACACTAATGAACAGTAGATTAGAACTAATGTGAAAGATCAATTTTGTCAAGTGTGAAAAGTGCTTTCTAAAATACAAGTGATACAACATGTAAACAATATACACACATAATTCTTATTAATTTAATGACTTGAAAAGGACAATTACACACAAGAGAATATTGGATGACAAGCCTGTAAAACATTAACATACATATGGTTCTTATACCACCAAACACATTCATACACTACAATAGACACAAATCATACAAATAGTTGCTCTAATTTAATTAAACATTACAAACAAGAGAATCACATTAATCATGCATGGTTAAAACATATTAATGTTGTCAAAGCCTTAAAACAGATAGTTCTTGGCCATAAGACAAAGAGGATTTTTCTTGTGCTAGGCAATTCCTGCTAGCACCTCAAAGTCTATATCTTCCCTTTTCATCCCTTTAGGCATTTCCTAGTCAAATGAATAAATAAGATTAACAAGGATAAGCTCTACTGTGGCAACCCCTATTAGTAAACCTGGGCAAATTCTTCTTCCTGCACCAAATGGAATGAGCTCAAAATCTTGTCCCTTAAAATCTATGGCATTGTCCAAGAACCTCTCAGGATAGAACACTTCTGGGTCTTTCCAAGCTTCAGGGTCTCTATGAATGGCCCATACGTTGACATAAACCAATGTCTTTGCTAGAATTTCATACCCTTCGATGGTGCATTTTTTATTTGTTTGTCTCATAACAAGTAGTGGTGCTGGTAGGTGTAATCTCAATATCTCTTTCACTACTACCTTTAGATATGTAAGCTTTTGGATGTCACTTTCTTCTATAGAACCTTTTGAGCCATATAGATTTTTGACTTCCTCTTGAACTTTCTGCATCACTCTTAGATTTTCCATTAGTTGGGTCATTGCCCAAACTGATGCTACAGTACTTGTATATGTTGCTGCTGCAAGTATGTCCTACATTTATCTTGTGTTATTATATAATAGGAAGGACATATAAGATAGATTTAAGCATTTTGTAGAAGAAAATTTCTTTATGTATTTTAAACACATTTTGGTTTATTTTCTTCTATATAAAAGGAAAATAAGTAGACCTATCTCTCTTAATTTGCTAAGCTTTTAATAACTCACTTAACCTAAATGAGATGCAATGAGGATTTATATTTTTTTTTTTCTTTTTCTGTTGATTTATCCTAATCATCCTTATAAGTAGGAACTGTGAATGTATTGCTATGGTTCCTGGGATTTACAAATAAAGTACTATAAAATTGGAGAATTACCATGAGTAAAGCTTTGATGTGATCAAAAGTGAGATCAATAGAAAACCATCGTTGCTTCTTGAGGTTAAGCAAGACATCAATTATATCTTCTTGTGGTTTATGCCTTTGAGAATCAAGATGCTTATCAATAACTTCTTCACAAAATGCATCCAATTCCTTGTAATTCTTCTCAAGGCGACTAGTCAATCCTCTGAGTCTATCTATCCACCTTGTGAAATGAATATAATCTGACAAGAAGAAGCTACCTAACAAGGCTTGTAACTCATTAAGCATCCCTTGGAACCTTTAATAGATCAACAACAAATTAATTTCATGCTTTAATTTGATAAAATATATATGCTAAAAGACATAAGACATATAATGCTTTAAAGTATTTTGAGCTAGCCAATCAATTAAAGTTCGTATAAGAGGTAGGCACTCTTGTTCTTAGAACAAGAGTTTGAGAGAAAGGTTATGAAAGTCTTGAGTAAGTTCAAAGTTAGGAGGCTTTTATTTTAACACTGACATTATATATTCAGCACCCACACTCTAGTTTGTAAAACTATTCCTACATTTTTTCAAATAATAGGGAAAGTTACACATAAGAACTTAGGCATATTTCAGATAAGGAATCTAACATGATTAATTTTTAGATATGCCCTTGGGATTGGATTTTGGGTCTGATTCACCAAGTATGGATAACTCAACAAGAATTTAATTTCCAAGCTTTGTATATGGACCAAACCTAAGTAATACATGTTTTACCTTCAAGTGCTTTAATTTTAGTGCAAATCAAAAGAACTTTTTGATCCTCACATCTAAGGACCCTTGAACAATATATATGTTAAGCTTCATGATTTTATTTGATCACCAATCAATTTCTAATTTCAAGTCAAATTCTATGAGACCTAGTAAACTCCTTGACCTAAAAAACTGCAATTATAAATTACTAAAGTTTTACATCCCTACTAATTATTTGTAACATTTTGTCTGATAATAATTATAGACACATGAATCAGTGTGACGTGTCCATCCACTTATTTTGTTGCATGATTGACTAAGATTTAGAATATTTAGCTCTTAGCTCTCATGGCTTAAAGAGCTCTCTCAAAATTCAAATGTTTAAAATGGAAAAAAAAAAATCCAACCATTTTAGATAGGAGATTATAGTTTATATATCTAAAGGAAAATAATAACAAACCTGCTCCTTTCATCTCTTTCTTCCTCATAGCTTCTCCCAAAAGTAACGCTGCAAATTATGGTACTTGTAAGAGACATCAAAAGCTCATTCAAGTTTGTAATGTTGGATAAAGCTACCTATCTTGAGATCTTTTGAACCATTCGTTAAACCTCATAGTGTCTTGTAGACAAAAAACTTGAAACACTTCTAGCACTAAAAATATGAACAACATAGATTTTTTTGATTTCTCTCAAATAATCTCCATAAGAGGAAAAAAAAAACTCTACCTTAAGTGTCTCTTTAGCCATTTTAGGGGATGAAACAACAAGGACAATTCTATGACTTAGTTTAAGAGAAAAGAGTGGTCCATATTTCTTTGAAAGCTTCTATACGTCAAGATAAAGAGAAGAACTATTGAGGTGATAGAAATTTCCTATAGTAGGAAGGCCTTTAGGACTTGATGGGCAGTTTGGTTTGTGAATGGTTTCTCTATGTTTTTGAAAGAAGAAGAATAGAAAGGGAGGTAAAGTAATTTGAATGAGAACAATTGAAAGTAGTGATAATACCATATTTGGAGTCTTGGTAATAATAGTAACCTCAAGTCTCAATTGATTTGTGAATTAATGCCCCCTCCACGCACATATATATAGAATTGTTCACCAATTTCTAATCTAATTTTATTAACTTCTTTTTTAAATTTTTAGTCTTTTTAATTATAGGTAACATTCTGTGACTAGATGGATAATGCCATGATGGATTGTATTGGTATGAGTTATAGAAGGCAACCTAAGGTTGAACGCTGAAATATTATAATTTAGATATAAAAAAGAATTCTCATTATATATGTTTCAAAATATATGTGTGACAATAATTAAATTCTTGATGGGAGGTATGCCTTTCAAAGAGATTCCCTCAAACTACCAATCAAATTAGTCTGAATCAATAATCTAAGATACTAGAGTGAAAGTCAAATGCTAGTCTTTTAAAGTTTTAGCATATAGAATAGACTAAGAAATATAATTAATACATTAAAATATTGATCGTGTTATCATAGTTACCCTTAATTTAATGCATTAAAAGGTGGCCATATTATTTATAAAATACATATATTATGAGAGAGCTTCATTGTTAGAGAGCTTTATTGATTGTATATCCACTTTAAGAGAGAGTTTTATTATAGTAGTACTTTATTAGTGAATTAACTCTATTCGTCTTTGCTTTTCACTACTTGAAACAAAGTAATTTAAGCTCAAGGAGCTTAAAGAGATTTGTTATAGGGGAGAGAAATAGACCTGTGAGTCTAGGATTGTAAGTAGCTTTAAAAAAACTCAGATCAAACTTGTGGGATTATTGTGAAGGAGAAAATAGACTTGAGAGTTTAAGAGATTGTAAACGGCTTCTCAAGTGCTCGAATCAAACTTGTGGGATTGTTGCAGAGAGTAATATAGACATTAAGTTTAGGATCGTAAGTGGCTTCAAAAGTGCTCAAATTGAACTTATGATTGTAGTGGAAAATCTCAAGAGGTTCTTAGGGACTGGACTTAGGCCAAGTGGATTAGGTTAAACTAGGATAAACTATCTTCGCAAAGCTTCTCTTCCCTACTTTTGGCTTGTTTGGTAATATTGCTTCCATTTCATCTTTATATGTGCTTCAATTAATTTAATTCTTAATTAGTCAAATTCACCCCCCTCTTAGGTGGATCTTACATTATTTGCCTTAAAATTTATATTGTTTGTATTTGTTGGCTTGATTATGAAGTGATGTCATGCTCCTTGGGTAATTGAATATAGCAGTTATTTTAAAGAACAGCTATATAGTATGTAGAAAAAATATTCAAAAAAAAACAAAGAGAGAGAGGCTATATAATGGTTCTTTGAAATGACCGCTATATGGTTTCAAGACTATATAGTAGTTATTTTGAACAACTGCTATATAGTCTCTTTTCCTGAATCCCATCTCAACCATACAGTAGTGTTTTCAATAACTGCTATATAGAAGGCACTATAACTACTATATAAAAGGCGTTATATATAGCCTTTGTCTTGGTAGTGTTTGATGATAACAAAACTAAGAAGAAGGTGTTTGTTACTTGTGCATGTCATATACATTAACAAAATGACAAAACCTCCAAGAGTATGAAGAACAAGGGAAGACTTAGTTTTATATGTTTATTTATTTTGTTCTTCTCTTAGATTCAATTGTAAAAACTATTGAGAGCTATCACATATTTTGAGAATGCTAAGAATGCATCATATTAGAACCTACCTTAGGCTCACAAGTCTATTAAACTTAAGTGTCAAACATTTGTGATGCACCTTTGTTGAATTGTCCAATTCACGTGTGCTTTAGAATGAACTCACACATGTTTTGGCTACCCTTTTTGCATCTAAGGACTTAGAGGATCCAATTCAAGCTTGAATTAGAATGGAAACTCCTTGAATTAGATTCAAGAAGTGAAGCTTAATACTGTGATGCAATTCAATGCTTGAACTAGACATGGTGTAAGTGTAATTTGGGTCACAATGTAAGCAAGTGTCTTGGATGTGCTTCTATAATCTAATTCATGCTTGAGTAACTTGAATGCTCATGTTTGAATTGTCCCTTAATGTCTGCTTGAAGTGTGCTTGAGATGTGATCCACTTGTGACTCTGGATTGATTCACACTTGAATGGTTCCAACACTTAGAAACTTTCAAGTTTGACTTAGAGAGTCTTAAGGTTGAACAAGTAAATCAAGCTTATTTCAAAAGAGTGTCAAGTGTGTTTTAACTTACAGCATGCATACCCTCTAATTCGCGCTTGAACCTTAACCTTCCAACACATGTTTTAGCTTATGGAGAAGGTAAGTGCTTTTATCCTCTAAAACTCACCTGATTCATTATAATCTCATACTTGAATTAGACTAAAGTGAACTAGACCCTAGTGCTAAAATGCCAATTCATGTGCGAAACCCTTCCATTAATACATGTGTGTTTTGTTTTCTGACAAGCATTTAATACTTAATGTAGAAAAAGTGATTTTTATGGTAATCTTCACTTCAACACGTCTACAATAGCTATAATTATTTCTCTGAATGTTCCTAATGTCTCTTGTAGTACCAAACTATATATATGATATCATTTAAGTAAGTGGATAGCACATTCATTGAGCATTATGTTATTTGCATTTAATTCTTACCTATATTCATTGAGCATCAAAAAATTTTGTACCTTTTACTAAATAACACAGGTTTCAGTGCTATATCTAATAAGGAAAACGTTACAAATAAAAAAAATAGTTTGGTCCATAGTAAATCTCGAAATTTCCTTAATTTCTCAAAGTGGAAGGACATACTGATGGACCCAAATATATTGTGACATCACCTTTTTTTTTTTAATCAACTCAAAAGTATCAACCATAAGAGGTCACCAATAATGAGATGATTTTTGTTTTTGGTAAGAATAATGAGATGTTTTTGTGGTGTCATGATCCCCGACCGAATAAAATATGACGAATTTGGGAAAATTGGTTGGATGAAAAATTTTGTATCCAATATAAATATTAATATTTTTAAAGAAAAATATAATTTTAAATATTTTTTGGATTAAAGTAAAAATAAGATTATCAAAAATTAAATGGTAAATAAAGAAACAAATTAAGATTATAAAAATATTGAAAGTGTTGTAATAAACATTACCAAATAGAACCATACGCTTTTGTTTTGGTGAGATAAAATCAATTTATCTCACTTGTTCAGTAATGAAATTCTTTGTGATAAATTTTTCAACATAAAAAAATTATATAAATATTATGTCAGAAAAAGATTGAAAATATGGTCAAAGAAATCAAGAAGAAATTCACTTTGTGAAAAGTTTAAAGTTAAAGAATATATCATTACTTTAAAACTTTTTCTCAGAGAATTAAAGACCAAATTTTTATTTGAAAAGTTTGAATGACTTTTACCACCTTTTTATTTGATTCAGAAAATTAATTAATGTAAGAGAAAAATTATAGATATGATAGTTTCCAAAAAAAAAAAAAAATCGACCAGAAGGATAGAGGAATACAAAAGAAAAATTAAGTTGGTGTCAAATGATTTGTTTCCCTTTTTTTTTTTCACAGAGAGAGGAGCTTTATCGGAGTCAAATGAAACTTCTATAGTTATGTTTAGATTAACAAGGATTTATATTTGAATTAGAATTTAAGATTTTGAGCTAAATTTATTATTTGTATACATAAAAATTTGTAGATCCATGTTTTAATTATAATTATTTTATAATTTTAAATTCTCTCTATATTTTTGTTATTTAAAATTTGAGTTCCTCAAAATTTATTTACACTCATTGAATTCAAATTCAAAAGAGACATGTTAGAAAAGTTATCCTTAGTATTTTGTCCTTGGAATTCAAATTTAATATTTGATATTACTAAAGTTGTATTTGAAAACAAGGGAAAAAAAAAGAAAGAAAGAAATTAATAACAAACCTGCTGCTTTCAACTCCTTCTTCCTTGTAGCTTCTCTTAAAAGCAGCCCTGCAAATTATGATACTTGTAAGAAACATCAAAAGCTCATTCAAGTTAGTAACCTAGAAGGAAGTTGCATGTCTTGAGATCTTTTGAATCATCCATCGAACCTCATATTGTCTTATAGATAAAAAAAATAGAGACACGTTTAGCACTAAAAATATGGACCACACAGATTTTTCTCATTTCTCTCCAATAATCTCCGTAAGGAGTGAAAATCAAGTCTATTCCATTGTAAGAGTATTTTTGCAAGCTGAACAAAGAGAGTCTATCAGAGAACTCTACATCATGGTTCTTAAGTGTCTCTTTAACCATTTTGGGGGATGAAACAACAAGGGCAATTCTATGACCTAGTTTAAGAGAAAAGAGTGGTTCATATTTCTTTGAGAGGTTCCATAGGTCAAGATAAAGAGAAGAACCATTGAGTTGATGGAGATTTCCTATGAGGAGAAGGCCTTTAGGACCTGGGGGAGGTTAGGTTTGTGAATAATGGTTTTTCTATGTCTATGAAAGAATACGAATAGCAAGAGC